GGGGCAATGGAATTATTATTACCTTGCCGCCTCCTATCTTGTTTTACACTTTCACACCTTTCCAACCCTTACCTCACCTTGGGAGTTTAGGAGTTTAGGGAGTTCTTATCATTCTCTCTACACTTCTCCTTATCCACATGAACTGCCCATCTACAAGCTCGGGTGCCACGCATGAATCGCGCATTGAATAGACACTCCCACAATGTCCGACCCGCGCCCAAACGATGAGCCGGGCCAATCGTCAACCCTGCGCAGAGAGCGCGCGCCGACAATTACCATCGACACCTCGGCCGTGAACTCCCCCGACACCGAACATCCTCCCATCCAAGTCCTCTCTGGAGGATCACAGACCTACACCGATAACGCACATGCCCCCGACACAACCGCACTGCTGGACAATGGTGTCTCTCCCACAGATATGCGGTCCACAGCCTCGATTCGCTCCAATGCCTCCTCCGAAGCTCGTGATCGAGAGAGCCGGCCAACCTCCCCCCACAACATCTCATCGCCCAAGACGAAGGCGCCTGAGACACATTCAAATTTCCTTTCCGTCCCCGGTACACGCTCCCGAGGCAACTCCTTGGAGTCGGATGAGACCAGCCAAACGTCGAGCACCTACGGCGGCGAGACATACGTGCCCTCGCCATCTCAAGAATCAAGACCTGAGTTGGCCAAGCACGCCGCCATAAACGACATACACGATGAGGATGCCCTGACCCCAGACCCCGGCCGTGAATCCGAGTTCGAGGTCGAGGACAACAAGTTCGCATTTTCCCCTGGTCAGCTGAACAAGCTTCTTAACCCGAAGAGCTTCGGCGCCTTCCATGCGTTGGGCGGCCTGCGAGGACTGGAAAAAGGACTCCGAACTGATGTCAAAAGTGGCTTGAGTGTTGATGAAACTACCCTTGACGGAGCCGTCAGCTTTGACGATGTTGTCTCACCTTCCTCACCTGCCTCGTCAAAAAGTATGCCCAAGTCTGCCTCTCCAAATACATCACCGCCACCCGCCACTGAGGGTTCCATCATAACCCAGGGCGGAGAAGATTTCGTCGACCGCAGACGTGTCTACGGGGATAACAAACTTCCAGAGAGAAAATTGAAGACTATTTGGGAGCTTGCATGGATTGCCTACAACGATAAAGTGCTGATCCTGTTGACGGTTGCGGCTGCAATTTCACTTGCTGTGGGAATTCCGCAGTCGCTTCATCCAGTAAACGATGAACCGGGCGTTGAATGGGTCGAAGGTTTGGCTATTCTCGTGGCCATTATTATCGTGGTTACGGTCGGTGCAGCGAATGACTGGCAAAAGGAACGGCAGTTTGCAAAACTCAACAAAAAAAAAGAGAATCGACAGGTTAAGGTAAAACGATCCGGCCGAACTGAAGAAATTTCTGTCCACGACGTCTTGGTTGGTGATTTGATGCTTCTGGAACCTGGTGATATGGTCCCAGTTGATGGGATCTTGATCGAAGGCCACGACCTCAAGTGCGACGAATCTTCTGCTACTGGCGAGTCTGACGTTCTCCGCAAAACTCCAGGCGATGAAGTATACCGGACAATTGAGCAACACCAAGACTTGAAGAAGATGGATCCTTTCATCATTTCCGGTGCCAAGGTCTCTGAGGGTGTCGGCACGTTTTTGGTCACTGCTACTGGTATGAACTCTACCTACGGCCGGACGATGATGTCCCTCCAAGAGGAGGGCGAGACAACTCCTTTGCAAACTAAGCTCAACAAGTTAGCTGAGTACATTGCCAAGCTCGGTCTCGCTTCGGGCCTGTTGCTGTTTGTGGTTCTTTTCATCAAATTTTTGGTCCGTCTCAAGGATATCTCTGGTGGTGCGGAAGCCAAGGGTCAAGCATTCCTACAGATTTTCATTGTTGCTGTTACAATTGTCGTCGTCGCGGTACCTGAAGGCTTACCTCTGGCCGTCACGCTCGCTCTGGCCTTTGCTACAACACGAATGCTCAAAGACAACAACCTGGTTCGCTACCTCAAAGCCTGCGAGACTATGGGTAACGCTACCACGATCTGCTCCGACAAAACTGGAACTTTGACAGAGAATAAAATGACTGCAGTGGCAGCGACCTTGGGTACCACGTCTCGGTACGGAAAGTATTCTGGCGTCTCGTCCGACGATCAGAGTGAGATCACCCCTTCCGATTTTGTCTCTACCCTATCGTCATCGGTGAAGGATGTCCTACTCCAGTCCATTGTCTACAACTCAACCGCGTTTGAAGGCGAGACGGATGGAGTTAAGACGTACGTCGGATCCAAGACCGAGACTGCCCTCTTAACTTTCGCTAGGGATTACCTCGGAATGGGGGTCCTTAGTGAAGCGAGAGCAAATGGCAAGCTCGCCCAGATGTTCCCATTCGATTCTGGCCGGAAATGCATGGCAGTTGTCATGCAGCTGGATAATGGAAAATACCGAATGCTAGTTAAGGGTGCTGCGGAGATTCTAACCTCCAAGTCGACCCGCATCGTCCGAGACCCCACTGCCTCTCTGTCGGAGGCTCCTGTTACCGACGAGGACAGAACTTCACTGGACAGCATTATGAACAACTACGCCACCCGCTCCCTCAGATGCATTGCCCTGGTTCACCGTGACTTCGATCAATGGCCACCTCGTGGGGCCCCTACTTCGGAAACCGATCGCAACCAGGCAGTCTTCGAACCTATCTTCAAGGACATGACAATGTTGGGAATCTTCGGTATTCAGGACCCTGTCCGAGAAGGTGTTGCTGAGGCAGTGTACACATGCCAACGGGCTGGAGTGTTTGTCAGAATGGTGACTGGTGATAACATCGTAACCGCCAAGGCTATTGCCCAAGAGTGTGGTATCTACACACCTGGCGGTATCGCCATTGAGGGACCCAAATTCCGCAAGCTGAGCACACGCCAAATGAACCAAATTATTCCAAGACTCCAGGTCATCGCCCGCTCTAGCCCGGACGATAAGAAGATCCTGGTCAACCAACTCAAGAAGCTTGGAGAGACTGTTGCTGTTACTGGAGATGGTACCAACGACGCCCAAGCCCTCAAGAATGCCGATGTTGGTTTTGCGATGGGTATCACTGGTACCGAAGTAGCCAAAGAGGCCTCTGACATTATTCTCATGGATGACAACTTCTCATCTATCGTCAAGGCCATGGCATGGGGTCGCACAGTCTGTGATGCCGTTAAGAAGTTCCTTCAGTTCCAGATCACTGTCAACATCACCGCCGTAATTCTCACCTTCGTCTCTGCAGTCGCTAGTGAGAGTGAGGATTCAGTGCTCAGCGCAGTACAGTTGCTGTGGGTCAATTTGATCATGGACACCTTTGCCGCTCTCGCTTTGGCGACAGACCCTCCTACGCCAACAGTGCTTGACCGCAGACCCGAATCGAAATCCGATCCACTCATCACTCTGACAATGTGGAAGATGATCATTGGACAGTCCATCTATCAGCTGGTTGTAACCTTCGTTCTGAATTTCGCCGGAGGAAAGATTTTCACCTCTTGGGATCACGAGCATTTGCAGACTGTGGTTTTCAACACTTTCGTCTTTATGCAAATTTTCAACCAGTATAACTCCCGTCGTATTGACAACAAGCTCAACATCATGGAAGGTATCTGGAGGAACCGTTGGTTCATTGGTATTCAGGTCATCATTGTCGGAGGTCAAGTCTTGATCATCTTTGTTGGTGGCGCTGCTTTCTCCGTCAAGCGTCTTGACGAAGGCTCGCAGTGGGCCGTGAGTCTTATACTCGGAGCAATCTCCCTACCTATCGCCGTGATCATCCGTCTTGTTCCGGACGAATTCGTCTCAAGGCTCGTTCCACACTTCTGGCATCGCGACAAGGGTCCGGAATTGGTCATCTCAGACGAGGACCGCAATTACGAGTGGAACCCGGCTCTGGAAGAAATCCGCGATCAACTCGCCTTCATGAAGCGTGTGCGCGGCGGTCGTCTGCGACACATCCGCCACAAGCTGCAACACCCCCAGGAATTCCTTCCTCGGTCCCGTAGTGGCTCTCGCTCGCGTGATTCCTCTGCCCCACCCACGCCGAATGGCGACAACGACGACAACGACAACGGCAGCCCGACCCCGGCCACCCCAGAGTCTCGCTCCAGACGCAACACACGGTCACGATCGAACTCGACGTTCGGACCCGCCGCTGCTATGGCAGGCATCGTTGCTGGTAGTATCGCCGGATGGTCTCCCATCGAGCGAGGCCACAATGAGCCCGACATCGCGTTCCCGACAGGCGGCGGCCCTCACAGCGGCCTTGATCGCGAACAAGGCATTGAAGTGCACCCAGATACCGCTGCTGATGACCGTATCCTGAATGAGTACTCCGCTACCTCCAAGACACCCCCGAGCCAGAATCCGGATCTGACTCCGTTCTTCGAGCATGCTCCGCCAGTGGACCGCGCGCCCTCTAGCCGTGGTCGTCGCTCTTTGTCTCAGCGGTCGAGATCGAGATCAAGTCTTAGTCAGTCACACGTCTGAGCCAATCTCGCCTTTCTAATACTCCTTTCTTTTTCATCCCCTAACGTCGGGATATCTTTTTAATTCGTTATGCCCCTATTCCCCTTGACTCAACTCTACTGCTCTATTTTCGGTGTCTGGAGATGGGTTTGGCGCAACGCTGTTGAAAATTAAGCATAGACTCTGTACTTTTGGGTCCATACAATCATTTGCATTTGGGTTTGGTGGCCAGGCTGGCCTTTTTTCTTTTTGATATCTCTCGGCGCGTACAAGGCGGCGCCATCTAGCATTTCCTTCTCTTTTCTTTTCTCTTACTGTTCCTGACTGTAAAATTCAAAAATTCTGAAGATACCACTTTTTGTTTTCCCTCTTCCTTTCTCTGAATACTCTCTATGATCATGAATCGTAGATTTCCGTCCTGTTAGGCTTTCTTGAAGGTATTTCCACCACTTCCCACTTGTGTTGATACATATCACTCACGGGTGATATTAGGTGGGCGCATGTGTTACACTCTTTGGGGAATATTTTATCCTCTGGAGTCAAGTATACATACATCGTAGCCATACAGCGCTGAGCTACTGTGCCTGCAACTGCGCTGAAAATCAGGCAATGCCCATCTCATCATCCACTCTGAGTTTAGCACCTGCTCAGCAGTTGGACGATCCTCAAGCCGAAAGCCTAGCATCCGGCACATCAAACTCAATATCGCAGAGGCTTCCTCTTTGTCAAACTCGCCTATTTTGGCCATCCGGCGATACTTCTGCACACCTTCCTCAAATGCCTCGTTGATCGGTGGCGCCACACCTCTGCCCTTTTTATGTTTTCCATTGCCATCAAAGAATAGATCTCTCTCTTCCCAAGACCCCCACCAGGGCAAAGGCAAAGGACCTAGCACATCAATATGCTGAGATATTATCTTTTTGATATCTGTATACTCAAGACTGAAAATTGCCTTCATCCCAAGAATCTCCCATATTGCTGTCGCTAGGCCCCAAATATCTGATGGGTATGATAGTGGTGCTTCGGGTTCAAAGGGGGCCTCTGGGGCTCGAAATGCTAGAAGTGTATGACAGTCTTTTCCTTGCCGCAAGTCTGAGGCTGGTTCAAATGCCTCTCCAATGTCGTTAAGAAGAAGACCACCCACTTCAGAAAGTGTGAATTCCTCTGCCCCTTTCCCAAGATCTAGTGGGAGGGCTGCCTTTGGCGGGGCATTGGGGGTCAATGGGTCCTTATTGCGCTGGGTAATAGCGACTGTCTCAGGCTCCCCGTATTTTTCGTACGGTCGCTTGGTTGAAAGCTGTCCAAGCTTGACGAGAACCGAATTAAGATATTGCTGAGATGGATATCTGAGTGAACGTTAGTTATAAAAGTAAACTACAAAGGGATAGTGACACTGATATCAAAATGACGAACCTCCATGCACGTATCCTTTTGAATGGGTATGTGCCACAGCAAGGGCAAGTCCGCCAGCGAGAGCTCGTGCGATATCCAGATGAAAAGGGCGAGAATAAGAGACATCCCTAAGATTACACTGCGCAGGAGCTGTGGTATAGCAGGGATGGGCGCCATTGGGACCATGTTCTCGAACTCATCAAGGATTAAAGGGAATAAACGGGAGCCGCGGTGCTGCCGTACGTATATGACGATGCTGGCCGTGCCTTCAGCTCACGGCGGGAGTCTCGATCTGGGCCGTCTGCGATGCCGACTTTGACCGCGACGTACTGCTCCAGACGGAGATCACGCCCAAGCCAAGCAGTCGAATAGCCACCAAATCCTAACTTGTCGACAATCCGATATATTTCTTGGAGAGTGTCTCCGATCATGATCGCGTGGTATCCCCCTTGTGCATATTTCTCAAGATTTTCGGCACCATCGATCCAGTTATACTTGAAATCGAATTCGTGATGTGAGGGTATTATTGCTGACAGTAACCGGAGTGAGAAGGGGCAGAGTGGGACCGGCTGAACGATCTGAAGTTCGTTTGAATGGGGGAATGGAAAGGGGAATGTAGCGGGAGGAAGGGCTTGAGAAAAGAGAAAGCAGGAGAACAGTGTATCCCTCGACAGTAGCGCGCCATGAGGAGGCACGACACCTTCGGGGAGAACTGAGGAATGGGGGTTTGTCCTTCCAGTGGAGGAGCGCGACACGCGAAAGCGTACCAGGGGACTAATACATAAACAACGACAAAAGGCTGCAGGGAAGATCTGAACTCGGGGAATTTCAAGGTCCAATAGTATGTCTAGGCACATGATAGAAAATATCTAAATCGCTGGCACACCATATATCCAGCATTGAGTTTCTAAATAAACTGACTACATACGTATTAATCTGTCTATCCGCACCACATCTGGTGGGCGTGTTATCAGAAGCTTGCTACTCGCGAGGGGGCGGGTCGGATGACACCCAAGGGTATACAGCCGCCAACACACTTAGTATTCCTGTCGCATACTCGAGCTGTTGTAATATCACCCCCTACAGCAAATATAAAGCTCTGCGAACGGGATATCTGATATATTACCTATTTCGAGTCCTTATGCTCTTTCATTTGCGTGGATTTTGGCGGGATAATGAAGGCTTTATATTGGATAGGACTAGAGTAGAACCCAACCATGTACTCACAGTGGTACGCACTGCGATCTCTAGTTCATAAACGGAAGATATCTGGTGCGAAATTGCAGGCATATTCTACCAAGCCCTCATACCACACCCCCTCGTCCGAACCCAAACATCCACAATCCGAGCAGACTCGCTGTCTTGATCCGAATCGACGACAAAATACCACCCGTAGAAGGCACCAGTGACACAAGCATGATTCGGGTGGACTTTAACCACTTGTCCAATGCACAGGGGAATCTTCATCTGGGACTCACTCTCCCAAGTCACAATTGCATGCTCCTGACTGATCCTCTCAACAACCAGTCTCTCTGATGAATCTTTGCCCACCCCATCCAGTCGCCAAGAAGAAACAACCCCCCAACCCGAATAACTCGGACACGGCTCTCGACCCAGTGCGAGCGTCCCTGCAGCCAGGAGCGCCTCGGGTTTCTCACGCTCACCATCGTTATAGACGCTGCATACTTCGGCGAGCACCGAGATGGCAATTTCATCCTCCAAAATTCCGGAATCAGCACTAGCATGTGTGGAGAATTGTTGCATATCCAGGATGGGATAGACGCCAGCATGCAGCTCGACATTTGTCTCACGAAGCAAAGCCTTGAGCTCCCGCGCTTCCGCATAAGGAGAGTCATCACGCAGCAAGTTCTGGGACGAGACTACCTGCGGCGTGGCACCAACACTGATGACCAATTCCCTTTTGGGTAGTAGATGCAAATTTCTCTCCAAGGCATCTTTGCATCCGCGGATCTCACCGATCAAATGACCCATGGCTTGCTCTGTGGTTGTCCCGCCATAACTCAGACTGCTGTGTGAATACAACCCCAGGAGCCTTGCCCCACCTTTCTCCTCCGCGGAGGCAAGTTTCTCAAGTAACCCGTTTTTGTTGAGGGATACGGGCGGTAGACCGGCGCGGTGGTAGCCTGTGTCGACCTTGACAAAGACACAGGTTGCATGTCCTGCTAGAGAAGATAGTTTCTCCAGGAAAGGGAGTTGGTCTGGGTGGTCGATCATCACAGTAATGCTGTTCTCGCCTAGCTCGCGGGCTGCCTTGGCTAGTAGTGGAACCTGGGATGGGACAAGGGGGATGCCGTAGAGAATGTTAATTTTGCGGCCTTTTTGTTTCAGTTCCTGTAGTGGAGGGATCATCATCTCGATCTCTAGGACTGTGGAGGCTATAAAATTCGCCTCGGTGCTATCGCCGATTTGGAGCTTGGCGATTTCGGGTGTCTGGTGTTCATAAGTTGAGTGTAATTGCGTGGATAATGTGGTATTTGAGTCCTACCTTGTGGGATTTAACATGTGCTCTGAATCCGATATCAAGCGTTTTGATTGTGCGTAGCATTGTCTCGCAGTGTCGACGGATGATTGCTACATCGAGCACGGCGGCTGGTTTGGGTACGTCGCTGATATCTTTGCCAATATAGAACTGCTGCAGGTCTTCCTGGGAGGGGGTTATGGAGGCCATCTTGAAATATGTAGGAGGTTACTGGGAAGTGCGCAATGGAAGTTGGATATTTGTATTCTCTCCGCACCTCAATAGCAAGTGTGGGGCGGAGGATGTCAAGTCCGACTTCGCCGTTCACCGACGTCTACCCTCTGATATCCCCATCCTCCCTTAGATATTCTCTGATTTGACTCCTGAATTTCCCCAAGTCGAGCCGGTCTAGCCTCGGTCTTAAACTTGAGCACTGTCGTCATTTCAGTCCTGGTTCGAGTCTTCCGCATCTAAAATATAACTATTAGAGACAAACGCTTGACACTGGATGGACTGGAGAGAAGATACCTGAAGTTCTCACAATGAAAAACTGTGCGGCAGCCACAGGTCGAACTCTGTGGCGAACAGAAGTAGTGACCATTCCATTCCGGAGCACGTATTCAATATTCGATTCTCGCATCAGACGGGAGCTTTGCATCGCCCACAGCGCTCCGACCCACTCATTGTAGGTACGTACAATGCCTACGGCAGGCAGAAAGTTTTGGATATTGCTCACGTGGGGCCCAGCAGGGTCCAAACCAAAGCGTCGGTATGGGGAGGGTACCTGGAATTGGATTTCATCAAGTTCCGGGTCGTACTGAAAATGGACTTCCAGGTCAGCAAGGAACGCATGGTAGTCCATGCCGATGGCCTCATTGGTTCCATTCGGAAAGAAGTAGCTGCGAGCCCAGAAAATGGCCGCATCGTTTCTGTTCGCAGGTCGGCGCACGACGATCATGCCATCGCGGATTCTGGGCTGAAAGATGGACGGTGGGGAAGCGTAAGAGGGGTCGGCGGAGGCCATTGTAAGTTCAGTATTGATGAGGATAGTGTGTAAGTCAAAGGAAGCACAACTGGGGAAAAGCCAAACGAGGTAAGCAGGCAGGTAAAGCTCAGATCGAGGACCAGTCAAAACAAACTAGGACGGGAACTATGAGCGTCAAGTTGGGAGTTGTAACTGTGGGATTGTGCATTTGAGTGACACGTTTACCACTTTTGATAGGGCACATTGAATTTTACAAAGGAGAAATGGCATCAATCGACCCCTGAGTTGGATTTCCTCGATTCGAAATAGCTAAAATTCTCTTCGCTCGACTTTCCTGTTCGGAATGAGCATCCATCCAGAGCCCCAGTGTCCCTTTCCCTGGCACCGGTGCAAAATCCATTACGCCGCACTTCATATCCCCGATTGACTGATTGAACTCTTCTCCCATAGCATATAACCACCAAGAACACAGCCCCGTCGCTTGATAGCAGCCTTGAAAAGAAATATCCGCCCTGCAACGATCTCATCGCTGTCCATTCAGGCTCACTCGTCGTTGTCTGAATATACATTTTTGTATTGAGTCAACACTCGTCTGACACGTTCGTCAATCAAAGCTGGGAGGAGTCACGTACCTGTATCAACGATAGTAAAACGAGCCGTCGTAATGGTAGGACTAGCAGTGAGGTAGACTGCACAACTGAGTTGACACGGCCCGAGGAGGCATTTTGCATGACCAGAAGAGCGGCAACCCAGGTGTTGGAGGTCTTGATTAAATGGGCTGGAGGCTTGCCGGGGTAGGCCGCAGACTGGAAAGCGCTGTTATGATCCCATCGGATTTCGTCTCCTTCGAGGGGGTCATGGTGGAGGTGATTCATCAGATCCTGTTCGAAATCCAGGTAGCACAGCATGTCGGGATCAAAAGTGCCATCTGGGTTGATGCGTGTTTTACTCTCCACGTAGCCTCCAAGCCAAAATACAGCTGACAGGCCGTTTTCGAGACGGGTCACTTCAATAAGACAGTCGTGTATTTTGAGCTCTCGCGGATGGTCATGCGGGACGGGGTCATTTGTGCTACCCTGTTGTGTGACTGATTGACTGATTAAATGGAGAGTCCAAGACTTGAAAGGAAGAAATCGATGGCGAGAGTAGGGTGAGTGGATGAGTTTGATACGAGTCAAGACAGAGCAACGAAGCGGAAATTCAAAAGATATGACGGGAACATCTCTCAGTTATTCTTCCCGAACATTTTGTTGATCCAGATATATCTGTTAATTCCCATTCCTGCGCTTTCTTTGAATTTCTCCAAGCGAACACTTCACATTCTTATCCTGTCCCTGTTTCCTCTCGATCTGTAAGGAAGGGAGCTTTCTGTGTAATTCTGTAGGTTCCGTCAGAGTCACGTCGATCTATTGGAAGCTATTTTTGCCTACCAAACTCGTTCTTGGTCACAATAAAGAAGCGACAGGTCAGGCCGTGTCCCGCTACTGCTTCCCGATTTTGCATGGCTATCAAAGCAGCCAATCAACTGTTTCGGTTTCTAATGACATATTCACAGTCTAATCCATCAATTTCGATGGTCCCACAGAAGTACATGACTTTCATGGCTGTAGCCAAAATGGGACCGCAGATCTTCGATAAACGGGTCATAATCGAGTCCTATATCCATATCAAGAGGCGGGGTGCATCCGTTCGCGACGTATGAACGAAGCCAGAATAATCCACTGGCCATACCATAGTGGTGGACCTTGATAAGTCCGTTCCGTAGGTAAAGTCTGGCGCTGTACAGAACTGTGGTTCGATTATGCTGTGTTGCCACTGGCGACCCTGCATGAGTTGGTGCTGGTTGAGGTATTGATGAGGATGGTAGGGGCTTTACAGGGGCAGGCAGGCTTTTTTTTGGGTTAAATCTTGCTTCGAGATCACGGTGAGAGATATTCTTGACCTAGTTAGAGAAGCTATAAGATTTCGCAAGTGTTGTTGAAGCCCACTGAACGGGTAAACGGTGTTGTTTGATGTTTAGGGGATCTAGGTCTTTATATCCATCAAAATACCTGTCATTATGCTAGGAATTTAAAGACGCTACATAGAGCGAACAGTTTCTGTATCTTAAGGCTGCAATACGTTTAAATGATGGTTAAGGCCCGTAGTCCCCAAGCATGCCGAAGAAGTCAAATCAAACACTAATCAAGGATTATCGCTTATTCTTCAGTACTATATTGCGATCGAGAGTCTAGAAAATAGCTACCATAAAGCAGAAGAGCCCTACGAAGTGCTTTAATACTGAGATCTGTCATTTCCTTGAGATCATGAGTCTCAGTTCCCCTATAAGAGCAGATCGAATTAGAAAGCCCCTAGCAGGCAGCCCGAATGTATTAACTACATATTATGTACACTGGCTATAACGCGCTATGCTAGCTCTAAAACCTACTAGTAATCTTATGAGAATCAAATCCTTTAACGAATTGGCAACTTCCTAACACGCCAACGCCTGGCGAGATGGGAGTTCACCTTCATAGATCCGCAACACGGATTCCGGCTTGTGGGTCAGAAGAGGCGGGAGAAAAGCTTGGCTAGAGTTGATAGGAAATGATCTGAGCTAGAGACTCGAGCTACGTAATATCACATAATTCGGGATTCCATTCATACAAGTCTTCCGATGTGAATACGAAACACCATAAGAGAAGTGGGGATGAAGGAAGAGCACGTAACACCATTCAAGCCTTCATAGTACCCCTGCACAACGTACCAATCAACTTGCGCTCAGATAGGCTATACAACGATGCCGAGGACAACCGAACAGCCGTCAGGGACTCTCTATATATAGTAATAAAAGCCAAGTTATGATGGCTTAATAAAAGTAAATATTAATTAGAGCTATTTAAAAGAACCCCTTCCCCCTTATTTTCCCAGAGCTATAGCGAATCAGCACAGAAAATACCCGGGGAAGTATTCGTCCATCGATCACAGGATACATTTCTCGCGGAACTCGCTCAACGGAGCTTCAGACTGATCATCGTCCTTCTCCACTTCGCGCCCTCCTAGCCGAAAGCTGAGCATCGTATAGAATCGTGAGCTAATACATACTCCTTGCGTCGACAACATTCCAGAGCATGCATATTCGGAGCTTTCCAGTATGCCACTTACCCCATACGGAAATGTATCGCGGATCACAGTGATCGGCGGGACTCTTAATTCTCATGCTGAGGCTGTCATGGGCCTATCCCTTCCCTTGGTGGTATCATGAGGTGTTTACAGACCCCCAGACTATGGGTATGGGGGTCGGTGTCCTGGTGAATGGGTCGATATTGCATTTCCTCCCCCCGTTCGTATCTTGGAATAAAGCTAGGTAGGGTCTCTTTCTCTCCACAAGACGATCGATATGATCTACAATCTGCAGAACACGTTCTTTGACGGCTGTATTACAGTGGTGTAACTTCAGCGCTCATTATTGGATACCGTCTGGAGCTGCTCGGTTGGTGCCTTGATTGCTGAGGAATGTGTATGTATCCTGTTTCCTGTCCGGTCGTTACACCGTCTCACTAGACAGGGTGATGTCAATGCCCAACAGCCTAGCAATGGCGCACTGGCCCTTGGTGCTTTCCCCCTTATATCTATCATACCATAGCTTCCCCCCTCCATCATGTTTTATACGAACGGCCCGTTTCCTTCCTCTTTTGTGTTGTATAGCTCTGGATCTACGACATCCAATCTATACGCCAGACTCCTCGGCATTTATCTGTCTACTGGTGGATTCGGATTGAAAGATTCTGTTCTCGAACAGCTCAATCCCGTATAGCCTCCCTCGTTCGAGATATCCAAGAATGAAGCTCGAAGATGTCGAAAAAGCCCACAGCTCGCCTACTCTTGTGAGTCCGAGTCAGACTCAACTCGACAAAAGCGCCTCCAACAGTTCCTCCGACGACTCAGACCTCGCAAAGCCTGACCCCGTGCCGCATTCAAAGTGTCAGCGATGGATTGCAAGCCTAAAAAATGTGGAGAGACGTGGCGTTGAGCCTGTTCCCATCGAAGAACGAGAGACAATAACACCTTCAACCATACTTCATATGCTGCTAATGTGGTTTAGCATGACATTGGCCACAAACAACATTATCGTTGGATCAATGGGTACGCTCGTCTTGGGTCTCAGTTTCAAGGATGCGGCCCTCTGTGCTGTATTTGGATGTTTAGCCGGCAATTGCACTGTTGGCTTCATGAGTATATGGGGACCGAAAAGCGGAAACCGAACTTTGGTATGTTTGTTTCGAAATCTCGGGAGAGAAAAGTACTATTAAGAGAACGAACGGATGCTCATGAAGTTGATAGATCGTGGCCCGATATTTCATGGGCCATTATCCCAGCAAAGTTTGCATTATCCTGAACCTCTTCACCAATATCGGGTATAGCATGGTAAACAGCGTCGTCGGTGGCCAGATCTTGTCTGTGGTTTCTGGTGGTCATCTTTCCGTGATAGTGGGCATTATCATTGTCGCCGTTTCCAGCTGGGCTATGGCCCTGTTTGGCATGAAAATCTTCCAATTATATGAACGGTAAGTATTAGCCACCAGAAAACATTAAGTGCATATTCTAATTAAAATCAGAGTTGCCTGGTTGCCACAGCTGCTGGTGATATGCGTGATGGTGGGTGCCGCAGGGCCTAATTTCGACTTCAACATCCAAACACCAATGTCTACAGAGCAATTAATCGCCAAAAGAATCACCTTTTTCTCCCTGGCATTGTCCATTGCCCTCGCCTGGGCTCCACTCGCCGCCGATTACTATGTGTATCTCCCTCCGCAGATGAAGAGTACTCGGACATTCCTGGTCACAGTCTTCGCCGCCACAAATGGCATGTCGATTGTTCTCCTTATGGGCATCGGTCTCGGAACCGTCATCGCCAGCTCAGCACATTACGCGGCCAAGTACGGCAGCAGTCCAGGAGGCGTCCTGATGACAGCATACGACAGTCTGGGAGGGTTCGGGAAATTCTGTGCTGTTATCAATGTCCTTGCTTTGGTTGCCAATAATACACCCGGGGCGTA